GGGTTTCACCATTGCCAGGATGGTCTTGATATCCTGACCTCATGATCCACTCACCTTGGCCTCCCAGAGTGTTGGGATTACAGGCGTGAGCCACAACGCTCGGCCGAAAACTTTCCATATATATATATTTTTTTGAGACGGAGTTTCGTTCATGTCAGCCAGGCTGGAGTGCAGTGGCGCGATCTCGGCTCACCGCAACCTCCGCCTCCTGGGTTCAGGCAATTCTCGTGCCTCAGCCTCCTGAGTAGCTGGGACTATAGGCACGCGCCACCATGCCCAGCTAATTTTTTGTATTTTTAGTACAGACGGGGTTTCACCATGTTGACCAGGATGGTCTCGATCTCTTGACCTCGTGATCCGCCCGCCACGGCCTCCCAAAGTAACTTTCCATATTTTATGGGAAGAGGAAAGCTTTTCCTCCACCCTCTCATGCTCACTATCCAAGGGCCTGTAAGTTAAACTGACAAAAGAAAGATTAACAGGAGAAAAAGGTCAATTTCTTATGTATAAGAAAGCCAACAAAAGCAGCAGCTGACTAGTCAAATAAAGTTAAAGGCTTGCCTAAGTAACTTAGTAGGGAAAATGGTGGGGGAGAAATAGCTTTTACCAGAAAAGAACAGAAAAATTGACTTTTAAGAGAACTAATAGGAAAGTTTGTGTTAATGTTCATCTATACAGTTAGGAGTGGTGTTTCCAGCTTCTTCAGGGTCATAAGTTAGGGGATTTATGGTAGCATCATTTCTCAGAAATTTTGTTTTTAGTCAGATAAGGAAATCTTTGAGAATGCTTTTTTCCCCTCTTCATCTGTTGAATCTCAAATGCCCTCAGCTTAAAATAATCTTTTTATACCTGCTCTGGGGTTCCTAGTTGGTCTCTGCAATATCAGTATACAAGGAGCATCCTTTCTTATAGATGGCCAAATTGTATGTGATTTTATGACTATAGCATTATTTAATCAATGTCCTTTGATTTTTTCCCCTAATTTTTCTCTGTAAGAAACACTGCTCAAATAAAAGTAAACTTGGACATGAGTGTATGTCATCTATACATAGGAACTCAGTGTGAATATATGCTGACTATCTCAAAGTAGAGTTACTGGGTCAAAGGACATGTGCATTTGGATTTCCATAGCCATCTTCTTTCAACAGACATTCCTACCAGTGTATCCAAAATCTTGTTTCAGTTGATGTACATATTCACTGGTAAGTTCCCTAACTTTCTCTATTTTACAGTAGAATAACTTAATGATGTCACTCCTCAAAGTTTCTTTTCTTTTTTAAAATTCAACATTATTTTAATTTTTTCTAGGGGGTCTCATTATGTTGTCCAGGCTGGTCTTGAACTCTTGGCCTCAGTGATCCTCCTGCCTTGGCATCCCAAAACGTTGGGATTAGAGGCATGAGCCATGACACCTGGCCAAAAAGTTTATTTTCTTAAAAAAACCTACATACATCCTACAAAGACATTTTTGAGTTGTTTCGTTAACAGGTTTCTTCTGTGCACCCTGGGCTATATAAGCATAACTGGCCATATTCAGTACCAAGAGATCTCCTCTTCATTGCGCTGTATTGCTCCTGACTCTACTGAGTACCTGCTTGCCCGGCTTCCCTACTCCCTCATTCTCCCTTTAAAACATCCAGTCACTGCCGTACAAACCAAGGTTGAATTCTTTTCACATTGCACTTTTTTCCCTATTGCAGTAACATATTATGGATAAAAATGTGTCCTTACTGTCAGGCTTTGTTATCTTTGACAATAAAAATAAACATATAACTGCAAGTAATAATAAGTGATATGTCATGTTAAAATAATTAAATTGGGCCGGGCGCGGTGGCTCACGCCTGTATTCCCCCACCACTTTGGGAGGCCGAGGCTGGTGGATCTCGAGGTCAAGAGATCGAGACCATCCTGGTCAACATGGGGAAACCCCGTCTCTACTAAAAATACAAAAAATTAGCTGGGCATAGTGGCGCGTGCCTGTACTCCAAGCTGCTCAGGAGACTGAGGCAGGAGAATTGCCTGAACCCAGGAGAAAGAGGTTGCGGTGAGCCAAGATCACACCACTGCACTCCAGCCTGGGGACCGAGCAAGACTCCATCTCAAAAAAATAAAATAAAGTAAAACAATAATTCTTTGGACAGATATTTTTCTAATTTTATTTTATTTTATTATTTAATGTTTATATATTTACTTATTTTTGAGACAAAGTCTGTTTGTCTCCCAGGTTGGAGAGCAGTGGCACAATCCCGGCTCACTGCAACCCTACCTCCAGGGCTTAAGGGGTTTTCCTGCCTCAGCCTCCTGAGTAGCTGGGATCACAGATGCGCACCCCTACACCCCGCTAATTGTTTTTGTATTTTTAGGTGAGCCAGGGTTTCACCATGTTGGCCAGGCTGATCTTGAACTACTGACCTCAAGTGATCCACTAGCCTTGGCTTCCAAAGTGCTGAGATTATAGGCCTAAACCACTGCAGCCAGTCCTTAACTTTTATTTTAAATTCAGGGGTACACGTGCAGGGTGTGCTGGTTTGTTACATAGGTAAATGAGTGTAGCAGGGCCCTGTTATACAGATTGCTTAATAACCTGGGTATTAAGCAGAGTATCCATTCATAAATTTTGCTGATTCTCCCCCTCGTCTTACCCTCCCTCCTTTTCTCATTTTATGGATTAGAAAACTAAAGACCAGCCGGGAGCGGCGACTCATGCCTGTAATCCCAGCACTTTGGGAGGCTGAGGAGGGCGGGTCACGAGGTCAAGAGATCGAGACCATCCTGGCCAACATGGTGAAACTTCGTCTCTACTATACATACAAAAAATTCGCTGGGCATAGTGGCGCGTGCCTGTACTCCTAGCTGCTCAGAAGGCTGAGGCAGGAGAATTGCCTGAACCCAGAAGGCAGACGTCGCAGTGGGCCGAGATCGCGCCATTGCACTCCAGCCTGGGTAAACAAGCGCAAAACTCCATCTCTGAAAGAAAAAAAAAAAAAAAAAAAAAAAAAAAGCCGGGCGCGGCGGCTCACGCCTGTAACCCCAGCACTTTGGGAGGCCGAGGCGGGTGGATCAGGAGGTCCAGAGATCGACACCATCCTGGTCAACATGGTGAAACCCCGTCTCTACTAAAACTACAAAACTTAGCTGGGTATACTGGCACGTGCCTGTAATCCCAGCTGCTCAGGAGGCTGAGGCAGGACAATTGCCTGAACCCAGCAGCCGGAGGTTGCGGTAAGCCGAGATCGCGCCATTGCATGCCAGCCTGGGTAAGCAAGAGCAAAACTCCGTCTTAAAAAAACAAACAAACAAAAAGCCGGGCGCAGTGGTTCACGCCTGTAATCCCAGCACTTTGGGAGGCCGAGGCGGGTGAATCACGAGGTTAAGAAATCCAGACCATCCTGGTCAACATGGTGAAACCCCGTCTCTACTAAAAATACAAAGAATTAGCTGGGCATAGTGGCGTGTGCCTGTAATCCCAGCTGCTCAGGAGGCTAAGGCAGGAGAATTGCCTGAACCCAGGAGGCGGAGCTTGCGGTGAGCCGAGATCGCGCCCAGCCTGGGTAAACAAGAGCGAAACTCCGTAATCCCAGCACTTTGGGAGGCCGAGGCGGGTGGATCAAGAGGTCAAGAGTTCTAGACCATCCTGGTCAACATGGTGAAACTCCGTCTCCACTAAAAAAAAATATACATATATATATATGTATATAATTAGCTGGGCATGGTGGCGCGTGCCTGTGGTCCCCACTACTCAGGAGGCTGAGGGAGGAGAATTGCCTGAACCCAGGGAGCGGAGCTTGCGGTGAGCCAAGATCCCGCCATTGCACTCCAGCCTGGGTAACAAGAGCGCAACTCCGTCTCAAAAACAAAATAATAATAAAAATAAAATAAAACAAAACCCTAAGGAGGAGAACTTCAAACATAATGAAGCTTCTTCGCTGGGCGCGGTGGTGCGTGCCTGTAGTCCCAGCTACTCCGGAGGCTTAGGTGGAAGGATCGCTTGAGCCCAGGAGTTCTGGGCTGTAGTGCACTATGCCGATCAGGTGTCCGCACCAAGTTCGGCATCAATATGGTGACCTGCCAGGAGCAGGGGAACACCAGGTTGCCTCAGGAGGGGTGAACGAACCCAGGCTGCAAACGGAGCAAGTCAAAATTCCCATGCTCATCAGTAGTGGGATTGAGCCTGTGAACAGCCACTGCACTCCAGCCTGGGCAACATGGTGAAACCTTGTCTTTACTAAAAATACAAAAAATTAGCTGGGCATGGTGGCGCGTCCCTGTAATCCCAGCTACTCAGGAGGCTGAGGCAGGAGAATTGGCTGAACCCAGGAGGCGGAGGTTGCAGTGAGCCCAGATCGCGCCATTGCACGCCAGGCTGGGCAAGAACAGCGAAACTCCGTCTCAAAAAATAAATAAATAAAAAGATGGCGGAAAAGCCCAGGCGCCCTGGGTCCCGCCTGTAATCCCAGCACTTTGAGAGGCCGAGGCGGGCGGATCACGAGGTCAGGAATTCAAGACCAGCCTGGCCAGCATGGCGAAACCCCCGTCTCTACTGAAGATACAGTAAATCAGCCGGGCGTGGTGGCTCGGGCCTGTAATCCCAGCTACTTGACAGGCTGAGGCAGGAGAATTGCTTGCACTCGAAGATAGAGGTTGCAGTGAGCAGGCTGCACCATTGCACTCCAGCCTGGGTGACCGGGGAGACTCCGTCTCGGAAAAAACAAACAAACAAACAAAAAATGGCGTTTCGCTTTTGTCGCCCAGGCTGGAGTGCAATGGTGACATCTCAGCTCACTGCAACCTCCGCCTCCCTGGTTCAAGTGATTCTCTTACCTCAGCCTTGCGAGTAGCTGGATTACAGGCATGCACCACCACGCCCAGCTAGTTTTTTTTTTTTTTTAAGTGGAGATAGGTTTTCGGCATGTTGGCCAGACTGGCTTCAGTGATCCACCAACCTCTGCCTCCCAAAGTTCTGGGATTACAGGCGAGAGCCACCGCTGCACCCGGCAGGCATGGAAGAGGTTCCGCTGGGGTCTGCTCGGAGGAGTCGCGCTGGGGAAAGCGAGTGGAGGTGCTCCTTGACGAAACTGGGGAATCCCGGATCTCAGGGCTTCTGTCCTGGCCTGCCGCCCTGGATCGTCCAGCCTGGGCGGGAGCGGGGAGAAGACCTCGCCCTTCTTGACTGGGGCTGCGTGTGAGGGTCCAACTTCGCCAAAGGCCTAGCCCGGGGTTCCCGGCCCTTGGCCCCACCCAGTAGCGCCCGGCCCCCCCCCAGACCTGGCACTCGCCCTCAACGAACATGGCGCCGACGGCCTCAGTACGTCAAGGGACACGACCGCGGTCCCCTTCTTGCGCTTCTATTAATCGCCGCAGCCGGAAGCCGAGCGGCAGAGCCGGCAGCCTGGCTTCCAGGTCGGCGGTGGCCTGCGCGGCTGGTGTGTGGCTTTGGCTGGCGCTGCAGGGCGGGATGCTGTAAACCCGGGAGAGCCCGTCGCGGGAGCGCAAGGAGCTGGACGGACTCTGGAGCTTCCGCGCCTACTTCTCCGACGACCGGCGCCGGGGCTTCTAGGAGCAGTGGTAGCGGCCGCTGCTGCGGTAACTCGGGGCAGGGCCGGGAGGCGCGCGGAAGCCCGGCGGAGGGAGTGGGGGAGCCCAGGCCGCCTCGCAGGCTCTTTCCCCTGGGCGCCCGGGGGTTGGGGGCCCATAGGAGGTTAAAGATCAGTGGGCTTGGGAGCGCGGGGCTGGGGGAGTGGGGCAGGGAGGGGACCCAGGAGGACCGCGGGGCAGGAGGCGGAAGGAGGAGGAAGCGCCCCTGCCGAGCTCCCTCCCGAGGTGAAGGCTGAGCCCGGGCAGTGTCCATTTTTTTTTTAATGTTTATTATTAATTTTTAAAACAGTTTTTGAGACCGGGCTTGGCCCTGTCGCCCAGGCTGGAGCGCAGTGGCGCAATCCTAACTTGGCCCTCGAGAAGGCGGCGGCGGCGACGGCGGCGGCCCTCGAGAAGTTGTCGTCGGGGGCGGCGGCCCGGGCCAGCCCGGCCCGGCCACAGGGAAATCAGCGGCGGCGACGGCGGCCCCAGCCCGGCAGGAGGGAAGTCGGTGTAGTCGGTGTAGGCGGCTGCGGCGGCGCGGTCAGAGCGAGTTTCTTTGGAGAAGCCGTGGTGGCTTCAACGTGATGGTGGAGGATGAGACAGGTCTCTGCGGTAAGTGGCGGGGACTTGTACCCCACCGGGAATCCTCCAAACCTCCTGCTCCTTCTCCGGGGCTCCCTGCTTTGTCTGGGATGGGATGGTGGCACTATGGGGTGCAACACCGCCAGCGGCGAGGGATGGGTTCGGGGTGCTGTCAGGTGTTACGTTGCCCCCAGTGGGGGGGTGGCGGGGTCGGGTGTGAGATCCACGACATCATTGCCTGTGTCTGGGAGCTGGTTGGGGGCACTATCCAAGGCTGCATCGCCTACGTGGGGAGTGGGTTGGGGGCAGTGTCTGGGGCTGCAATGCTGGCGGGGAAGTATGGTTTAGGGGGTGCTACACTGCTGGTGGGGGGGAGGGGTGGTGTTAAAGGCGTCATGGGGACTACACTGAGACAGAGGTTGGGGGCTTGTTGGGAGAGCTACACAGGGTTGGACTGCCTGTGGGGTGGGGTAGAGGGTTGGTGGGGGCACTCTTGGGGCCGGATACACAGCCCGATTGGTGGGGAGGCGGCGGGTGGGCCAGGTGCTCTCAGGGATCTGCGTTGCCTGGTAAAGAGCGGGTGAGTGTGCAATTCCGGGCTGCGTGGGTTGTGGCAGGGGCAGGTTGGGTGTGCTATCAGGGCTACCCGAGCTAGCCATGGGGGTACTTCCCAAGGTGGAGAGGGAGTTTGGAGTGCTATCGGTGGCTGCACTGCCCAAGGCAGGGAGTTGGTTGGGGGCGCTATCCAGGGCCGCACTGTTCCCGACGGGGAGTGAGTCAGGGCACTCACTATTCAGGGGTGCAGTGCCCGCAGTGGGGGGTGGTTTGGATGCCATATGGGGGCATCGCTGCCTGTGGTGGGGGTCTGCTTGGGGGCACTATCTGTGGCTCCACTGCCCACCCAGGGAGCCTGTTGGGGTGCTATCCCGGGCTGTGCTGCCCATGGTAGGGGGGTGGTTTGCGGGTGCCATCGAGTGCTGCAGTGTCTAAGGCAGGGGCAGGTTAGGGGCTGCCGTGACGTGCTACACTGCCGGTGGTGGGGGATGGTGTTGGCACTATCCTGGGGCTGCACTGCCGGTGGCAGCGGGTCAGGGGCTCTGTCGGAAGCTGCACTACCGGTGGCAGGTGATGGAAGTTTCAATGACAGCGGTGGTCTCTGAGAGAGGAGTGGTCCTCCTCTCCCCGGACTCTAAACGGCCATCTGCTGCTGCCTGGCGGGCACACATTTCTGTAGCAGACACCATGGGGTGACGGGGCCCTGTGGGTGGAGGTCTCAGGAATGGGAACCAGCACATGGGTGCGGAGGGCTGACTGGGGCTGAGTTTCTGCTGCTCCTGCTTCCCGAGCACAGCCTGGGTGGTCCCAGTGGTTCCTGTGGAGCGGGAAGCCCAGGCACCATGGTGTCTCCAGTCTCTACTCCCTAGCCAGTTTGGGCCAAAAGGAGATGCTGTGGCCTTTGGAGGGTGGGTGTGAGTGCCTTCACTGAAACTGGCCCATGCCACCCAGTGGCCAGCATGACAAGGTGGGGGTCTAATGCTACCATTCTCTTGTGTCCCGTTCTAGGCTTTTCTGGCTTTGCCCGCCCACCTGCTCCATGCCATGAGAAGGAAGAGCTATCTGCTGCATGCTGGAGGCTGGAGCCTGTGGCACCACGGCTCACCTCGCTGCAGTGGGTGGCAGCGATGGAGACTGCGGAGCGCTGGAGAGGTAGGAGCGTGGCTGGCTGCCACCAGGGCAGGGACGGGTGCAGAGGTGGCCAGGTGGCAGCCTCTGAGGTGGCCTTCGTTCCTGGGACCCTGCTGCTGTTTATGGCAGGCAGAGCTCGGATTGCCACTGCTTCTAATGCGCCGTGTGCAGGTGGCAGGTAGAGTTGAGCCGTAGGGTGGCAGTGCTGGTTTCTGTTCTTCTGTTCCTTTTTGTCCCTGGTGCAGGGCGTTGGTTGCAGGTGCTGGTTACCCTACAGCCACCGGGATGGGGCTGGGCGCCAGTTCCAGTCCTCCTCCTGCTGCGGGGCCTGATTTAGGTGCGGCAGCAGGGTCTGGCCCTTAGGTCCGCGTTGCTGGAGGAAGCGAGCAGGATCAGGGGTTGCCACCACGCTGCCGAATGCCATCTCTAAGTGGCAGGTGCAGCAGAATGCACGGGAGGCTGCAGGGCTGATCTCAGACAGCCTGGGAGTCGCCCAGGACACCTCCCCCCACCCTAAGATCTGTGCTTCCTTGGCCTCAGCCCAGAGTGTGGGGTCGCGGGCCCTGGGCCCGCTGCAACACCCAGGATGAGTCTGAGCGCCGGTTTTCATCACCCTGTAGCTGCGCCGCCGACCGCCTAAATTAGGCACTATGGTGACATCTGGCCCTGGGATTCCTGCTGCTGGTGGGGGAGGACAGGGCCAGGGGTTGCCACTGATAGTGACTTGCGTCATTTCCAGGTTGCAGCTGTGGCTGAGCCCATGGCAGATTCTTGCGGGGCTGCTCCCCGAGGGCGTGGGGGTCGGGGAGTATACCGCCATCCCACCCTAGGGTCCACTTTTCCTTAGGCCTGGCCCAGAGCACAGGTTTGCAGGTGCTGGGCACTGTGCAGCCACAGAGTTTTGACTGAGCGCCTCCTGCCCTCCCGCACCTGTGGGCTGACTGTGGCAGTATCTGGTCCTGGGTTCCATGCTACTGGGATTAATGTCCAGGGATGCCACCGCTGCTGCTCCATGTTATGTGTAAGTTGCTGCGGCAGCTGATCCAGAGCAGAGGCTGTCAGAGCTGGTCCCAGATAGCCTGAAGGTCGCCTAGTGCACCAGCCAAAGGGTTCGTTTTTTCTTGGCCCACACCCAGAGTGAGGATTGCAGGCTCTGGGCACTGCACCACTGGCATAGGGAGACAAGTGGTGGGGGGCTCCCTTACCTGCTCCACACAAAGCCCGGGTTGTCCCAGAGTCAGCTCTCTCTCCAGCATGCCCCAGTCTCATCCTTGGTCAGCCCAGGCACAGAGGCCCACTCAGCCCTGGCTCCATATCTTGTGCCAGGCAGGCACAGAGGCACACAGCCTCAGCAGCTTTGTCTGTGGCTGGGCTAAACTGGTGCCCACCTCATCTTGACCATCTGCCCAAGTGGTCACAGCCTCCAGCATTGCTTCCCAGGCAGCACATCTGTTGCCCGTGGGGCACTTACTGCTTGGCCTCCCAAAGTGCTGGGATTATAGGCGTGAGCATCTGCGCCCAGCCTGTGGGAACTGTTTTAAATGTTGGCTGAGAAGAGGAAACATTGAAAAGTGGCAGGGAAAACAGCATTTCCTGTCCGTACACCCCACACCAGGCATGTATCAAAAGCTCCGCTAGGAAAACATATTCAGAGAGGTCTGGTAACTTGCCTCAGGTCACATAGCAAGTGAGAGGCAGAGTGGTAGGCAAACCCAGGCCTGCTGGGCTAGTTTCTCCCCCTGTCACGTGGCCCTGGGCCACCTCTCAGGCACAGCAGAAACCCACCCAGGAAGACAAACCCTGAGGGCTGACAACTTTGGAAAGTCGAGAAATCTCTCCTGCAAGGCTGAGACCTTTGACACCCCTGGGGGAGTGGACTAGGGGAACCGGGCCATGCGTGTGAACACCAGGCTGATAACATTTACCAGCTGCCTCCTAACGAAACCCACCCCAGGGCCTTTGCCCCAGCTACCTCCTCACCACAATCACCCCAGGGCCTTTGCCCCAGCTCCCTCCTCACCACACCCACCCCAGGGCCTTTGCCTCTGCTGCTTCCTCACCCCACTCACCCCAGGGCCTTTGCCCCAGCTCCCTCCTCACCACACCCACCCCAGGGCCTTTGCCTCTGCTGCTTCCTCACCCCACTCACCCCAGGGCCTTTGCAACTGCTGCCTCCTCACCCACACCCACCCCAGGGCCTTTGCCCCTGCTGCCTCCTCACCACACTCACCCCAGTCAAATGGTATTTCTGGTTCTAGATCCTTGCTGAATTGTCACACTGTCTTCCATAATGGTTGAACTAAAGTAATATTTTTCTTAAGCTGCTTATTGGTGCTATGTACTCTCAAAGCAAAAACAGCCAAGTATGTTATTTTCACAGATGTCAGACTACGCAAGTATGTTTCCAAAATCTCTGGTTACTTGGGTTTCTAACCCTTCCCCTCAACTATGTAGATGGTATTCTAGTGTTTCCCTGAATTTTCTGTCACAGAGGAAAAGCCAGGGTCAGCCTGATTTTCATTCATTTCTAAGTACTTTTCTCAGATCCCGGAATGGTTTAAAGTTTTCCAGCATTTCAATACATATTCTGCCAGGATATGTCTATGTGAGGATTTCCTTTTATAGAACATGATTTTTTTTAAAGGTCAAGAAAAAATGTTCTCTTTGTTGTTGTTTTTTTCATTAGTTTGTTGTTCTACTCTACTGTGAAAATTCTATTGTATTAATCTTGGAGTTTTAAAATTGGGTTTCACAGCACTCTCGTCGTCATCACTTTCATTCTGTTATCCTTTTCCTCTACATTCTTGGAGGACTTCTCCAGTATATTCTTATTATCACTGATTTGATTTTCTTTTCTTTGCGGTATCAGTCTTGCTGATGAATATCTTCATGTGGATATTTAAATGCTTTTTGATTCCTTGCAAATCTCTTTGTTTTTTTAATTGTACTTTAGGGTCTGGGTTACATTTGCAGATCATGCAGGATTGTTGCATAGGTACACACATGGGAATGTGGTTCACTGCCTCCATCCCCCTGTCACCCACATCTGGCATTTCTCCCCATGTTATCCCTCCCCGACCTCCCCATCCTCCCCCGCTGTTCCTCCCTTGGCCCCCGCAACAGACCCAGTGTGTGATGTTCCCCTCCCTGTGTCCGTGTGTTCTCATTGTTCAACACCTGCTGCCTGTGAGTGAGAACATGTGGTGTTTGATTTTCTGGTCTAGTGTCAGTTTGCTGAGAATGCTGGTTTCCAGATTCATCCATGTCCCTACAGATGACATGAACTCATCATTTCTTATGGCTTCATTGTATTCCCA